TATTGTTCCAGAAACGATATCTGCAGACTCAATCTAGGTAGCATTGCGCATCAGCGTAGCCATGCGTTTTTACGTTAAAATTGTAATAATTGATCGTTAGCAATGTGAATAATTCTTGCTTTGTAATTTAGCATGTGCACTCATTTTGGCTGTGTTTCAGTCTTTCCTTGCGTGCAGGGGAGAAAGGACATTGGCTGGGACGGTATCATGGCATCATGGAGCCACGTGAGATCTTCCTAGCACGCATAATTGTCGTAAATTTTGCATGAAGGAAAACGGAAAATTTGTTGTCATCAGCCATTCATTGGCAATGAACAGGATGTCGAGTCTGGTTGATAAAATTCGAGCAAAATGCACTCGTTCTGATGGGACTAAGCATTTGTGATGTCCATCTGTATGAAAGGAATTTAGAGTCCAGGCTAAATTTAGACCACATGTGGGTAAAGAATATCCTTGTAAAATTATGGCTCCTTGGCTTGGCTGATTCTCAAAATCGCCACTTTGCTAAAATATCTTTGGCACACATATCGCAAATACAATCCAGGAATTAATTTAAGTTTAAGTAAGGGAGTTCGCACATGGACGACAGGTGTTTCGGCGAACATTTAGCTGTCTTTTTTTGGATAATTGTCGGGTTGGCATGGTGCCAACGGGAATATATATATTGATGTGCCCTCATGTGCAACACAGGCGTATTTGATTGCTAAATTTGAAATGTTCAGCTCATACATGCATATGGAATATTCCTACAAAAATTCAATTTCCTGTCTTGCCTAGTTTGCAAAACTGTTTCTCGAGAAAAAATTTAAATGTTTTTTTGAGCGTTCGTATGTAAAATCCATGCGTACATGGACGATGATTTCAGGCTACAAAGATGCGGAGCGAGAACATGCTTTCAAACTTTCAGCTTTTACCTCCCACGGCTCGGGAGTTGAAAGTGGTTAAGCTCACGCACACACAGACACACACACGCACAGGCACAGACACACACACATATACACACATGCGCACACACATATGCGCGCATACGTACACACACGCACACACACACATTAACCGACGACCTGTTGACAATGCGTGTTTTTATGCGTTTTTGCATATATGCAAATGCAAAAACGCATACTGGCACGTGTGTGTGTGTGTGTGTGTGCGTGTATGTGTGTGTGTATGTGTGTGTGTGTGTGTGTGCTGTGTGTTCGCGCTTTTTGTTACCCACTTCCAAATGGAGAACCAGAAAAGGCTAGAAGGCTGAAACTTCGGAAGTATGTGCCTACATTATGTGCGACCCTACCGTTTTAATATCATCACCCGAGTATGGCTCGGTGCCGTGCACGAACGCCTTAAAAAAACACGTATGTTTTTTGGCCGGAAAGCGATTTCGCGGGCCAGAAAAGACAGACAGCTGAAACTTTGCAAGGACATTTCCTGTGCATGTGTAAGCTAAAGATTTCAAATTCAGCCTCTAGTTGTGAGCAGTTCTCATATACGAACTTGTGTAGGTTCTGATGAGAAAATTACTAACTCGGGAACCAAAGAAGCCAAAAAGGTGAAATTTTAGGGGAATGTTCCCTGTCCAAGTACACCTTAAATATTTCAAACTCAGCCTCTAAAAATGCATGGCCTGGGTTTGAATTTGCATAGGATGCAAAACTATAGAAGCTGCAGGTCAATGCAGCAAGCTTATAGAAAATAACAAATGCATGTTTTAAGAAAATGCTTACCAGATGTACAGACGGGTCTTGAGGTGGCAGTGACTGAGGGGAACTGTTGCGGTCAACGTTTACAACTGATAAAATAGTATGCGGCACATAACCGGCACGATGATGAACATTTGTACATTCCCACCAGTTCTTACTATCATTCAAGACCTGTAACAACAGTTTCATTAAAAGTAAATCTCATGATACATGAGGAAAATAAACTGGCAGGCTTTCATACCAAAATTCTACACATACGAAAGATTATCAATAGGAAGCACAAGAATTTTTTAATTGTCCAGCTTCAACAGGAAAATTTGGTGTAGAAACAAAATCTCGCAAAGCTTGCCTCAAGAAATTCGCCCCGACTGACGGTTAATTCTTTTGGATTTTGGGCAACTCGATCATATGTAACCTGCACCAGTTTTGCTCGACGAGCAATTATGTCATCCAGGAATGCG